CCACCTTGCACGGTTCCGCCGTTTTCATCATACCTCTCGATAAGCATTTCTCGTCCCTTGACAATCGGTAAGTCGTTCCTCGCAATACGTGTGACGAATATGGTGTCCACCCATTTTCCCGTGCACCACAGACGCCAAAGTAGATTCAGCTCCTTGACAGAGATAGAGATCTCGGTCTCTCTGACGTCTGGTCGCAACCATTTCTGGCTCTCCTCGTTGCTGCGAATACGACTAGCAGATTATGTACGCTCAAGTCGAAGAACGGTTAAATGCGAGCTCAGTGCTACCCCCAATCTCATTTCCCAGCTCAGGATGTTCCGCCTTCCCACCCATCTTGAGTCTTTCATCCCGCCGCCCAGGGAACAAGTGCCGCACACTCGGCCATGGAGAGGCACACTGGTGCTTCCTGCACCACTGTCTTCTAATACCTCAATCCAAGAGTTGTCGTGCACGGCTGCGGAGACGGAGGGAGACAGGTAAATACCTTCGCCTTTACATACACCATTGATGTACCTACCCACACCGCAAAGCAGTCAGGTGGAATTATGGCCTCTCCGCTTCGTTGTGCAGGTGATCAATCAGCGACCGTTGTTGCATGAAGTTCAAGCTTGGGTCAAAGCTCATGCTCCACCAATGTGCATGCTGATGCCGGACAGGCTACAAGATCCGGACAAGCAAAATCAAAACCAGGCCGCGTTCGAGGCTCTAGCGTCCTTGCTGGCTGAGAATAATCTAGTGAGTTGCTATTGTGGTCGCTTTACTGCATACTTTTTGACTTGTCAGGTCGCCGTCGCACCTTGGAATCTTCCTGACAGATTGTCAGGCGCAGGCATACTGCTTTTCCCTACGCGAGCATCACGAACATTGCTTGTTGCCGCCGTTTTCGTTCATTCGAGTTTTCCGGAGTTTCTCAATGGTCTGGTCAATCATTCCCCTCGTTCCAGCACTGTCGTTCCTCGCCATATTCCCATCCCTAGCCCATCTCACAGTCAGCCTTTACCAAACATCGCAACTTCCCAACGACATGCGTCCAGTCAGTCGCCGACCAGTAGTCGGAGCAGTCGTTTCTAACCATTTGAGATTCAATGATTTACTAAACTCGTCCTTTTCTCTCCCTTCGCTTTTGTTGATTTATCCTAACACTGTAGCCTTATTCGGTGCGTCAATTCTGCTCCCCACATTGACATTCAGAGGCCGTCGATACCCTTCGTCTTCATTCTTTGTATTCTGATTAGGCGTAAAGCCATTGTATCGTTATCAATAGAACCATAGACTATATATTGTGGTGTATACCGCTGTACCTTTCAATCTTTTTCACCAATGTTCATATCGTTGCTATGTCTTTCTTGACGATGGTTCTCATCATATCTTTCAACAGTACAAGATCTAGAGGTATCATACAGGAAGAAACTTGTCTTGGGTATCTGAGGCGCTGCTGCACGAATCATCTACTAGATATCTGACATCAATCGCTGTCTCTTGGTTCCTGGAGGTTTCTCGGTCTTTTTGCTGGGGTCGTCCAAGATGTTTCCTCGGCAGGACGCTTGTGAGATCCCTTTACCATACCACTACCGGAAGCCGCGTCATTCACCTCACGAGAACTCAGCAAGACGCCTTCGCCGGACTTTTGACCGGAGTCTTTGCCCTTCTTCGCCTTCTTCTTCTTCTGTCGTTTGGGTGAAGGTTCGAATGGTTTTCCCTCCTTGACAGACCATTCAATCTCGATGATCCTGTATTCATTTCACGATATAGAAGGAGGGATACATCAGCGCTTCTTTGCAGAAATCATATGCAAGAATACGTGAACAACGAAGAGTATCCACCTCTCTTTTAACTTGATATTGTCTGGCACATAAGCCTCCGCTTTGCGATAAAGTTCTAATGCCAATTGCAGGTTGTTCCTGTATGATGGTTTGAGACGGACCAGGAATAGGTCTTATCATAAAGGACTTACTTCTCTGTCTGTGCACGGGCTAGGGCGACATAAGCCCGGCCATGTTTCTTCCTGGAGACGGGAGACATCTCGTTGATGATGCGCATATCAGAATTGCTCGTGTCTCTGTAGCAGAGTCATCAACTGCTTCAACTGCTTGTTCGATAGTCCAATGGAGTCGGATACGTACAATTTCTGCTCTAGTTCTTGCAGGCGGTGCCGCAAATCATGCCGACTGGACGATACATCGACGCCAGGAGATCTACGAGACGAGTTCTCCGAGGGTTCGCTTTCACGAGACTTTTCCTGCAGCTCAGACAGCTGCTTCTCATGTTCGGCCATTCGCCGTGCAACCTCAGCTTCCACGGCCCTTGCGATCTGTCCGGCGATGAGCTTCGTCAAAAGTTCGTCAGAGATCAAGTCACCAACCTTTGCATCGATGTCCTCTTCTGACAACACTGGTTTAACTGGCACCTGTTCCCGGGGCAACCGAGAACTGGAAGCTGCCGGTAGCCCCACCGAAGATGGTCTTGGAACTCTACTTGCAAGCCTTGTTGCGTCTGAAGACGCGTTCGAAGGGCGAGGCATACGGGTGTTTGACGTCAATGAAACTCCTGAGGTTCGTGCTGCGGGAGGGTATGACGGAGCAGGTTTCGCCGAAGGCCGCATGTCTGAATTGTCGGACAAACATTAGAGTTAGACAGAGTCGGCTAAAGTCTACTTACCCTTCTCATTGACCACCGGTTTATTCTCGACGTTCTTCGTATGTACAGCAAAACTAGGCGATTCTTCTATCAGTCTTCGTATCAGACAGTGGCCGTGCGATGAATCACATACTTCAGGGTATTAAGGGTATCTTGACGATACTTCGGAGCCGGGGCGATATTGCATATCAGTAATCCGATCGAGGAACCTCCGAGAGCATCTTGCAATATACGGGTTAACTTCGAGTTGCGGTAAGGGATACGTGTCTATAGTAGTGTTAACAAATCTCGTGTCAAAGATATGGATTTGGGATAGCGTACGGCGCCCTTGTTTAGTGCATGCACTACCTGCCCAAGTACACTCAACGACTTATTGATTGCGGATGATTCCGCCATGCGTGAGGAGTCATTGCCTGTGAGCTTAGCAACGAGTAACGTCAGAAATCAAGTTCCCTCTACTTATTCGCTGAACATACCTTGTTGTTTTCGGATCCCGCAAGATCTACCAGGTTTAGCTTGCCACACAACGCTGGATTGGAACATTGGTGTTGAGTATGAGACGACAAAGCCGAAATAGTACCCACTTCGTCCTTGCTCAAGGTCCTGAACTGTCACCAGAAGGGTGAGAATAGCATGAGATCTTGACGATGCACGATTGAGATTGGTCGAGGCCACAGAGCGACGCTTCATGGCGTTCCTGTAGAATAGATAATCAGCAGCCAATCCATGAGAGAAATATGCGTTCATTTACGAGTATATCATATCGAAGTCTTCCACGGTGTCGATATCCTGAGTGGTAAGATTGGCAACGAATACCTGACCTGCTCCATTTTCGCGTACGGGGAGTTTGGGTGCCTATACGCGGCTACGAGTCACTACGGCAGTCTTCAGCGTTCATGTGGGCGACTCACGTTCTCCCGCTCTATCAACAGGTCATACACCTCATCCTTGTATATCTCCATATACGATAGAGCTATATCTATCATGATTTGACTTGAGGCTTGCTTTTTCAGAAACAGTGCCTACAAGACAATCAGAATATACCATGACCGCACACCAATATTACGCACCTCAACAGCTCTCGGAATGATACCAGGGTGGGCATTTGTACCCTGCATCGTGTGTGTCTTGCCGGACGATGTCACACCATAAGCAAAGATGGTTACTGTCTGGCGAGACGTTGACATCGAAAACTTCACGTCGTAAAAGTCACAGCTCACCATTCCCTCGAAAACTGCGTCAATCATGGGCTGCACCTCATTATCAAAGATTTCTTCTTGTGTCGAGTCTGGGCCATAGCATGCAGAGAAGCTGCTCGAGTAAATGGAATAATGTACACGCAGGCAAGTCGCGAAGAACGTACGAGTACTTGAATACTTGAGCTAGATCGCGAGGATTATTCACAAGCACCCAGTGCTTCCCGTCTTCTCCTCGTTGAATCCGCACACCTTTGTCGTCGGTTTCGTTCAAGATTGGTGGTCTGACTCGAGTCACGATATTAATGCGTCTGGCTGAGGCCATGGCAGTGCTAGCGAGTGAGGGAGCGATAGAATAATATAGGGGGACGATTATAGTCAACTGTAGTATAGCGTAAGAACGAGAGTAGAGCTGCCGATCCACAAAACCAATTCTGTGCAAGAGATGGATTATGGTTCTAAGTGGCGGAGCAAAAAGGTGGAAAGGTGGAGGTGACACCGCGTTATGCGTGGCTGTGCCTGGTTCAACTTCCAACTTCGGTTCGCTGTACACGTGATCGCGCGTTGCATCTTCGAGCATGTGACACTGTGACTGTAGCGGTCGGCTCGTTCTCGGCTCAATTGGCTTAGTCAAGGTTGCCATATCGGGTATGTCATTTTCGGGGTGTTGGAGTAGAAGGAGAAAATTGTCTGTCCTTTTGTGGTTTTGCTTTTGACTTGGTATTTGGTTGGAGGTTGAGGGATGCGTAAGCGGAGTAGTAGCTAGAGTATATAAAGCCGGGGTCGTAGTGACTATGACCCCGGCTTTGAGTCATCAGGAAAAACCTCATTTTCCTAATCTTGCCAATTGTAGATAATTTAGATATAATGAGATATAATTAGCATTTTTGTCTTGGTTTTCTCCAATAGGCTCCAATATTCTAGACCCCCCTAATTCTGGACTTTATTTCTCTAATTTGGAGAATACAATTAGTGCCAATTTAGAGAAAATTGTCTATAAATGACTGCAATTTTCCTCCAGTACTATTCCCTGATTGATTTCAATATTGTATTGATTTCTGTTACAGGACATCACAATATAATTAACTAGTATTCAAATCAATGATAAGTATCATTACAATTCATTTTAGTACACAAAAACAATCATAAAATAAAATAAAACATTGCTGGCACCATCAGGAATTGAACCCAGGGTCTCCAGACTGCACTGTCAAGCAGAGCTCTAACCACTAGGCCATCAGGCCATATAGTATCTGTGAAGCAATATGCCATATATACCATCTCTGCTGACACATCTCATAAACAGCTGAGACTTATGCATTTTTTTGACGGCTCTCTATTACACAGAGACTAGATACCCTTTAGAAGCATTGGCACTAGGTTATACATATAGTGACATCAATTAGATATCTTTAGCATCATTAGATGTCAGTTAATGTCAACATCAATGAGTATACAATATATCAAAAATATTCAAATCATGTTGGAGTTGAATTGGAGTTAGATTAGCATTGCATTTCTATTGAGCTAGACTTAAACTCAAAATTATCAAAAGTTAGCCCAATTGGAGCTGATCTAGTCAGACCTCATCTGATACATCAAAGTTTATAAACATCGGAATATTGTTATCTGAAAATTAGATAGCTATTTCATCAATAGTCATTTTTAACTTATATTTGCTTTCAGTTGCATCAGATTAGCTATATTGGAAAAAAGAGGTTTTTCCTGATGCACTAGGCATGTAGCTACAAGCTTCATTGAATCTCAGACTTTTGCCCTGTCTTTGAGCGTGAGCTTCTTCGTGTGACACCACTGCTATCTTTGGATACACAAGTGTTACATATTTTTGACAGGTCTCTCTCTCTTGCTGTAGCTCTTGCCCCTCGACTCTCTTGACTCTCTCGCTTTACTCTCGAACTCGACTCTTCAACTTCAACTCTAAAGTTGTCACCCAGACATCCTCGAGTCTGATCACTTCGAGCATTCGACCGATGACACCCCGAGCTCTTCGCTCACATCTCAACTCTCTCTAACTTGCTTCGACTTTAAAACCTCTCGTGTGCAATCCCCCTTTCAAACATTCAACTATAGAGCTTTTGTTTCGACCCTCAAGTGCTCTTCCATGAAAATTTAGGCCTTATGGAGACCCAGTCTCTATAAGAAAAAACCTTTTTTTCTAATATATCCAATCTAATGCAACTGATAGCCAATCTAAGTTAATACCTATTGATCAAATGTCTATCTAATTTTCAGATAACAGTATGCAAATATTTATGAACATTAATGAGTCTGATGAGATCTGACTAGGCCAGCTCCAATTGCACTAACTTTTGACAAATTTTAGTGAAAGTCAAGCTCGATAGAAATGCAATGCCAATCTAACTTCAATTTAACTCTAATATGATTTGAATATTTTTGATGTACTGTATACTCATTGGTGTTGACACTAACTGACCTCCAATGATACTAAAAATATCTAATTGATATTACTATCTATATAACCTAGTGCTAATATTCATAAAGGATATCTAGTCTCTGTGTAATAGAGAGCCATCAAAAAAATGCATAAGTCTCAGCTGTTTATGAGATGTGTCAGCAGAAATGGTATATATAGCCTATTGCTTCAGAGATTCTATATGGCCTGATGACCTAGTGGCTAGAGCTCTGCTTGACAGTTCATTCAGAAGATGCTGAGTTCAATCCTTAATGGTGTCAGCTATATGTTTCATTTTATTTTATGATTGCTTTTGCATATTGAATTGAATTATAATGGTGTTCATTATTGATTTGAATACTAGTAAATTATATTATCATGTTTTATAATCAAAGTTAATGATATATTGAAATTGATCAATGAGAAGTGTTAGAAGAAAATTGTAGTTATTTATAGACAATTCTCTCTAAATTGGAGATAAAAACTTCTGCAAAATTAGAGAAATGAAGTCCAGAATAAGGACAGTCTGGATAATTGGAGCTTTTTGGAGAAAACTAAGACAAAAATGCCAATTATATCTTATCATATTTAAGTTGTCTACAATTGACAAGATTTGGAAAATGAGGTTTTTCCTGATGACTCCCCTTCCTAGCGTCACGTTGCCTAGGGCTCGACGGACTAGGAAGCCTGCCATTAGACAGCCCGCATGCACTACATCAGGAAAATGTCTAAGGCCCTTAGTGCCCCATCTAAGGGCGCTAAGGGCGCTAAGTTTGGTAAGTGTAAGTGCTCCTCTTTCAGCTCACGAAGGGGGTCAAAAATCACCTTTGTGCACAGCAGTTTTAAAACTCATGGTAAGATCTTTTGGTATGTAATTTGTGAGATCCATATAAGCATTTTTTATCTATAAAGTGTCATGTTTCAACCAGAAACCATTTGTCAAATACCAGTTGAAATTTGCCTTTTTCCGGTAAGTTGGCTAAGGGCTGTAAGTTTGTGCCATTTTGCTGATGTACGGCACCTGCACCTGCAAACGTGCCTGCAGCGGAGTGCAAATGTGCTGCTTGTGTAACCTCTGCTCCTGCGGAGACAGAATGCCCCGAGACATCAAAGGAATTCACCAAGTGAATCCGTTGTGTGGTTATATGTTGAATCCGGTGTAAGTCCGGATACACATCAATGAGATCCGGCATAGCCCCGGAGCTCGTATCATCACATGCCCATCATTGCTTGATGGATGATCAGTGATATCTATGGTTATCTATGACATCATATGACATATCA